ACATATTATGGCCAAGAAAGAGTGTTCAGTGATGGTAGACACCTCTGATTGTTTGGGGATATGAAGCTAATAACACAAATGCAATACTTTAAAATAAATACATAAATTAATGAAATATGAACTTCAGTATGTATTATCTTAAAGTCAGCATGAAATTAAAATTCAGTCTACTTTTCAAAGACATGTTATTGATCTTATTGTAAATGATTAATCTTTGTATATTTTAAATTTTTAAATGTTTCATTTTTAACATTTTTTTTTTTTACCTTGTAATGTTTCATCAAAATGCCACAGCTGGATTTTCCAGTGAAAACATCAGACTTTTCCCTGCTGATGTATGCAGGACTGCTCCAATCATTTAGTCCGCTTAAGCCCCGCCCCTGCAAACTCATGTTCATCTTCCTCCATTGTTTAAATGCAACGCCCAACAACTGATGCAAAGAATCAAAACTCACACAATAATCTGACCAGGATTGTTATCATTTAACTAAAACACATTTTTGTTGATTGAAATAAGGCTAAAATTGAAAAAAATATATACATATTAGATGGAAAAACCTAAACTATATGAAAAAAAAGATTACCAAAATAAGTATTTTACTAACTGGAAATATATAAAAACTAAACCTAAAATAAACCTCACTGGAAACAATAATAAAATAATAATAAAAATGACAAAACACAACAAGATGACTAAAAATGTAATTAAAATAAAAATGAAAACTGAAAATATAAAAACAAAAGCTAATTCAAAATATTTATGAAAACAATAATAGCATCTAAAAAAATAATACTGAATCTGACAGGTAATGAATCGCTTTATTGAAATCAATTGATATGTTGATAAAATATAACTATAATACAAATTCATAACTACGTATACAAAGACTAAAAGCCACTTCTTCCCAATTGTTTCCAAAGGTATTTTTAAGGCATTGTGTGAAATAACAATAAATGTGCATGTTGCGGCTTGTGTCCTTGTTAGGTGCATGTGACTCTACACAGAGAAAAGTGAAAAAAAGAAGAATGAGATTATGACATAATACATTCATAGACAAAAGAAATCCAATACATTTGTACATATAAATACAGCATATAATACACATAAATCATGCTTTAAAAATCCATATTAATTGTAATGTAAAGTAATAACATTGCATTAAGAATGCATGTGCTTTGTTGGGAGAAAGGGGAAAAAATCCCTTGTAAAAACACTTCACAGTACATTTGCCATTTTGGTCACTAAATAATAAACTGCTGTATCCTTGCTTCCCCTGAGCTACAGATCTCATTTCTATTTAAATGAACATGAGATATCTGTGACAGCAGAATGAAAACAGATTTGGAAGACAGAAAGCTTCTCGCCTAAAGTGCTGAGCTAAACCGGTAACAGAAAGTGCGTTTGTGTTTCATGCTCTGCGGGCTTTGTGCATGTGACCACAGTCCCCTGTAATCCGTGAAGGCGCTTGGTCAAACAAGAAGGCTGAGTGTAAGGCTCTGATGTTACTCCAACAACCACAACAGAGAGCCGTAAAGTCAGAGCTTTCACTCCAGCCTTGTGCATTCAAAATGAGTTAAATGTGCAGCAGCAGATGCAGGATCATGGCAGCTTTTACCCCTCATTGTTCTCCCAGGTTTGGGGGCTGGTGTTTTCCTCCCTGTGAGAAGGCGTATGTGCACTTGCCCTGTTCTGGGACACTGATTCTGAACGCCAGTGTTTGTCCTGACCTCTGCAGCACAGCTGAGCCACCAGTCGTGATCGAATTGAGGGAGTCAACAGCACAAACATGATGCAGTTTGCAGCTCCTTGAAAGGTGTTTCCAATTCCCTATTAAAAAACGAATTTAGAATCACTGGGTTGCTGAATATAATAAAGGCCATTACAGATAAATGACTTTGATGAAGTATACAAATAAACTGCATGAATGGGACTTCAGGTGAAAGTAAATTAAGTTCATTTCGGGCTAACTAAGTGGAACCGGGTGACTTACATGCAAGGTGACCAGCACTGGGTTGTGTCCTGCAGGGGAGTCGGTCAGCAGGAGCAGGAAGCGGATGGTGCTCCACATGCGGAGCATGATGAAGATGATGGGGATGATGGTGAGCTTCCTGTCTGCCATGGAAGATGGCGAATGAGAGACAGGGCTGCTGGTCAGGATGGGACGGTACTCAGACAGGGCTGCATGCTTAAATGCATCACAGAGAAAAATGGCATAAAAAAGAGATCAGCATTCTTTAGTCTTACAGAAAAAGCTTACCTAAAAAGGTGTGTGGTCTATAAGATTTTTAAATGAATAAAATGAATGCTTTTATTCAGCAAGAATTAATCCAGAATTAACAAATGGTCATTAAATTGGTCAAAAGTGCCAGTAAAGACAATTGTTAAAAAAAAATTTAAATGCTGTTTTTTTTTTTTTTTTTTGCTTTCTATCAGGCTTCAAACTTCAAACTACTCTTTTCAACATTTATACTAAGAAATGTTTCTTGAGCACCAAATCAGCATATTAGAGTGATATCTGAAGGATCATGTGACAATAAGGACTGGAGTAATAACTGCTGAAAATTCAGATTTGCCATCATAGGAATAAATTACACTTTAAAATATATTCAAATAGAAACCAGTTTTTATTTTAATAATATTTCATAATATTACTGTTTTTACTGTAAATTCAGCCTTGGTGGGCATAAGAGAATGAGGCATAGTGTAAATGTTGATTTTTTTTTTTTGTTTGCAAGGAAACAGCATTTTGTTAGATTTATAACAGGGTTTGTCAGAATTAATCTAAAATATCTGGAGAGGCTGAGGAGAGATGTCTTACTTTGCGTGATAATTTAGAAAAATAATACAAAATCTAATGGATCTGCACAAAAAAAATGTCAGTCTTAAGATAATATTGATAAAGATTTACGGTGAAGTTAGTTACTTAGGGAGAGTATATTCCATTTTCATTTTATATAGAACAACAACTTTTATGTCACACCATATGACAATTTTAGGCACGAATGCAACAAATTGGTAAATAAATCCAATTTCCAATACAAAATCTAAAAGACCACATATATTTTTGGAAATGTAAGAGTCAGTACAACACAACTCAATATTTTTTATGCCTAATATTTGAAGTAAAAAAAAAAAAAAGTCAACCACCCATAATCATACACCCCCATCACTATAGCATGTTGTTTGCCGAATGCAGTTGTGTTACTATGACAAGAATGTGGGCCAGTCTTTAATATTATTAAATAATATTTAATTTTCTCAGCAATGCACTTAAGTGGATTCCCATCCCTTTTTACCAGTGAATTTCCATAATTTATCCAATTGATTTTTAAATGTCATATATATATATATATATTTTATAGGTCAGCATAACTAGTAAAATCTACTGATGACCAAAACGTCCATAACCTTTAAGATTTTATGAATATTCATGACTTTTCCAGGCCTAGAAATCACTATCTTATGATATTTCCCTTATACATTAGCACTGGACATTATTCCAGGAATTACTTGCCCGTTGCACACATTATGAGTTTATGAAAATGTCATGCAAACCTCTGCTAAGCTGTAATGTTAAACTGTCTGTGATGAGCCGCAGTGGACTTACTGCTCTGTGAATGTGTATCTTTACAAGCATGTACAGGACTGGCAGTGTGACATAGGCAATGAATTCCCAGATCTTTGCAGTGAGCAGCATCCACAGCACATGGTCTTCGGCCTGGATGTTCACCCAGCACCAGCCAACAGACACTTCAGAGGCATCATAGCCGATCTTGTGCAGGGACAGGGCTGCCACAGTGATGGCGAAAGGAACGCCCCAGCTGACACAAACCATAAATCACAGGATCAGACTGCAAACAGACTTCCACAGGCTGCACAAGCGAGTTCATGAAAACCAAACCTCTCCCTTATTGCGCAGAATCCTTATTAAATTCTCTATAAATGAATGAATACTGACTGTCTAAAACCCTTTTTCTTTGTGTAGCTGAAAGGACGTGATTCAAAAGGCAAAATATCATAAAAGGAATACAAATAATCTCCTTTCCTTTCCTAAAGCGCCATATCAGAATGGAAGGCCTTATGTAAAAGAATTGCGTAAATTTTATTTTATGTAAAGGAGAAACTACTTGAACTACACGTAAACTAATTTAATAAATACTATACATTAATACATATAATAATGAACATTGAAAGATAATGTTAAGAAAATAGTTTAATTGACACTATAAACAAACATTGAAAGTTTTAAATGGGTACTATTAAAGTGAACGGTGACTCAGTCGTTCTTACAACATCTGGTTTTGTTTTCCACAGAAGAAAAAGTCATACAGGTTTGGGACACCACAATGGTCAGTAAGTTACATTTTTAGAAAAATTCGAGCGAATATTTCTGGGGTGAAGTGTTCCTTTAAGAATTTCCTGGGAGTGAAGAAATGTAGAGATCGTAGAGTTTACCTGATAAGATGAAAATACAGCACCAAGTTGTTGGCCTGTCTCTGGCTGGACTTTACAATAAAAACGTATAGGTAGATGGCAATAGCCACAGTCCAGAAGAATGAGCTGGTGTTGGCGAATGTGGAAATTGCTCCTTGCGCAATACAATCCCCAGAATCAGAGTCAAAACTCCTCAAAACTCCATAAAAGTAAGAGAGTGCAGACAGAAGGTCAGTGACAGACAGATACACGAGCAGTTTTCTCGGTGTGGTTCTCAGATCGGGCCATCTCGCAAATGTGCATATGATTAAAAGTGACCCAAAAAACGAAAGTACACATGACGACAGGATAACAACCCGTTCGTAAACATACACCTCGGTGCGGTTCGTCTCGGCCATAGTTTCCCCTTGTACGACTTTAAAATCTACCAGCGCCTCGTTTGTTTGTTTGTTCGGTGTTTGGTAAAGTCTTATTTGAAGTATCGAATCCACTTGTAACCCGAAGAGATTTCCAGTCCTCTCTTCCCTTGACGAAGCATTACCATGAAAAACCGGACGGGCTTTAAGATCCAGCGGCGTGAGAAGCTTCACAAGCCAGTCCAACAGCTTCTTCACAACTGCTGAGGCAGTGAAACAATGTCATCACAGCAAATCAAAACATGTTGAATTTTGTGTCTATTTTTTTACTATACTTGATTGACTTTATAAAACAAGACTAAACGTATCTCAGCCTTGAAATCTAAGCTGACGAACTTTGTTTTTGCGTTTATCAGTTTGATAAGGATGTCACTTTTTTGATGACTGATTCATAAAGTGATTCGAATCATTTGAATCTATCACTAAAAGATTCGTACAGAATCGTTCACTGATTCATATAGTTACTCTTTCTGTTGGTTTCAACGTCACGCAAGTAGATGGTGACATGGAGCCATTCACTCAGTCGATTCATTAAAAACACTGAATCACTCGACACAAGTCTTATTGTGCTTTATTAAAAGAGACTACAGAGAGAACGTTTAACATTTTTCTTCACAGACGACAGTAAATCACATCAACTGTTTTTTTTGTTTGTTTTTTTTAATCACGAAACATTTGATTCACTTAAAAGATTGATTCTGAAACAACGATCCGTTCACGAACGAAACACCAGTACAAAGTACTGACTGTAGACATAGATTCCAAACATTCTTTCTTCAGAACATTAATCCTTGTCAACAAAATGTCATTCACCCGGAAATATTATTATACGCAACTGCATTCCAACATTCCAAATGGAACTGTGTTGAGGAGTTATGCAAAATTATGTGTGCAAGCAATGCGTCATTGTAAATGTGCCTGCAATTATTGACAATTCAATACATGCAATCACTATAATACGCCATTAGATGGCGCAATGTGAACTTATAAAGCTTCAAGATCTTGGTCTCTTTTCTTTAACCTCTTTATATCATTCATCTTATGATCTATCTTACTTAAAGTTTTTGGAGAGGGATGGTGGCTGGTGTTTTTGTCACACACACACACACACACACACACACACACACACACACACA